AGTAAACCCCCTTCTCTGGGCTCCTAGGGAGAGCAGAGGAGGCAGGGACCAAAGAGCAGGCCCTGAGCCAGTGCTCGCCCTCCTCTTCCTCCCTGTCTCGGCTTTTCTGGCTCAGGATCTTCCCGCAGTCTCCAAGGGATGGTGCAGGGTTGTTCACCCTCTTGTAGGAGGATGCTCCCCCTGATGGCACATCTGTGCTTGCAGGGTTAACCCTGTCATGCCCTCTCCTGCTCATTGCAAAGCCCTTTTGGCTGAGGAGACCCCCCCAGCTGAGCCTGAGCTGTTGAGCAGGGAGGTCTGTGAAGCTTTCCAGTAACACAGGGAGAGCTCGGCCGGGAGCTCCAGCTGACACGGAGCAAGGAGCCGCTCCCCTGGGCCAAGGCAGCAGCATCCGTGCGGCCACTAGCACCTGCTTCTTGGGGTTTTTCTCTTTTCCCTTCTCTGGGCAGGAGGTGCTAATTCCTAGAGGCTTGTCGGAGCCCACGCTAGGGACCATTCGAGCCACGTTGGAGAATAAAGCTGCAAAGCAGGAGGGAGCAGAGACAAGGCTGAGAGATCCCTCTGCAGTGCTGTGGGCTGGGCTAAGCCAGAAAAAGGAAAGGCAGATGGAGAGATTTGTAAGGGCAGGAACTGCTCCACTTTGGCTGCATGTTTGAGCTTCAGGGCATGGCAGAAGTGAAGCCCAGGGAGCACTTTCAGCTGGGCATTAACTCTTCGTTCCCTGAGCCACTGCTGCAGCTTTTCTTCACTTAGTGAGCGTCCAAAGGGAAAGACCAGAAAACTGTGCCAAGGTCAGAGGCAGGGAACGAGAGCTGAGAGCTGCCTTCCCTGCGGCTGCTGGAATGAAGAGATAAGCGCTAAGAAACAACGTCCCTCCTTGAGGCTCCAAACCGCAGCCCCAGCTCTGGCTGCACAACGGAAAACTGCCCAGACAGGAGGGATGGAAAGACATTCCCCACACTTGCACCCAGGGCTTTGGGAGAACCTGGAGCTAAAGCAGGAAAAGCTCCAGGAAAGGCCCCTGGGAAGGTCCCAGGTAACGTTCTCAGAGCTTGGCTTGCCCTGGGGCAGGTGAGCGCAGCCCGAGGGCTTGGCCCGACCTCTGGGGGTTGGCAGCAGCCCTGGGCAGCAGCAGGCAGGCAGCCCTGCAGCCCCTGGGACACGTGGTGGGGCAGAGCAGCCGGAGCTGAGATCGGGGCTCAAAGGGAAGTTTTGGGTCTCTTTGGCTGGGAATCGATGCCAAAAGAGGAGCCCGTGCTGCAGTCGATGCCGTACTGCAAGCTGCAGTGGCCTGGCCTCGCCTCTTTACCTCTTGCTGCTGGGTACCAGGAGAGTGGCAGGTGTCACTGATGCTTTATTTTTAACCTCAAAGCCAAGATTTTATGCCTCCCCAGACATTCCCTTTCCCTTCAATGGTTCCAGGTGCTTGCTCTAGAAATTACCAAAAGAAGCAGAGGGGCAGCTGTCCTGCATAATAAGCTGAGGGCATCAGAGAGGGGGGGGAAGCAGAAAATAGGGAGGTTTTGAGCACAGATGGTGACTCCAGTGGAAGCAGCAACAAGGGATTAAAAGCAGGAACGTATGGGAGCTTGTGCTTTAGGGAACTGGTGTCCTCAGATGACTTCAAAGTGCATTTTAATCCTCACAAGCCTACTCTGCTTTACCTCAGTGCGTGTTCCCGACGTGCTGGTGAGGTACGCAGCAGCTTTACTTACTGTGAAGATGAGGCTGGTGTGTCTGGTCGCTCCAGAGAGGATGGACGGACGCGCTCTGGGCTGGGCAGAGGGATGGAACCGGAGCTGCAGCGCAGACACGGGCTCCCCCGGCGCAAAAATCGCATCTCTTCAGCCTGGAGAATGTTTCCGCAGCTCCCGCCAACCGAGAGGCAGAACATCCGCATCCGAACTGGGCTCCCCACGGCTGGGCATTAGTGAATTCTTTCAATGATGCCAAGTCAACCCAGATATAAACCAAACCTGGGGAATTCTGCCAACGTTCAAGCGTTTCCGTCTCCGCCAGCCACCGGTAGCTGAACAGA